AGAACCAAAGTCATCAAAACCATTTTCCCCAAAACCCCAAAACCCCATATGGAAAAATGAGCCATCAATTTAGAATTATAATTATAAATTAATATCATGGAAACTCCGGATCAAAAGCTTCAAAGAGCTGAGGTTGCACTCTAGGAACTCAATGAGCTCTATAATTTCGCGGAGACTCTATATCCTATTGAGAGAACTATGGGACCTAGAAATGTAAGTTACCACTTTATAGCACATAAATATAAAAGATGCAATTTTATAACTTGTTTATAGTTGAATGAGAATTTGGAAAGACGAAGACAAGCAGATTTCCATACATACAGACAAAGAAGTAATATTCTTACTGGCACAATGTTCTGGGGAACTACATTCTTCCTCGTCATGGCAAGATGCAGCACTGGTGCTTGGAATCAAATTCACGTGGTGGCATAAAACCCCAGAACTGCTCTTCTTTATTTCGCAGCAGGAGCATTCGTGAACTATGCAGGAAATATTATTGCTCTCTCTTAAAAAGGAGTTAATCACAGCTATTACTTTTAGAATAAAATTGTGGCTTCTAATCATCACACTCATGCTGTTATTAAAACCACTATTGCATAGTTGCAAAAGAGAAGAATGTCAATCTGGGACTCAGTTCCCAACTGAGCTAAAGCCTTATCTCTGTAGCAGTTGATTGTTTATATTGCTATGGTTTTAAGTATTATTTAAACACAAACATTCATTCTAATTATACTAATTCATTTATACATTAGAAATATTAATAAAGTCAATTGAAATCAGGATCATCATCTCTTAAAGACCTTATGTCATCATTAATGTCAGTCTCTAGTTATTCTTGCTGAAGCATCCTCAACTTCTGTGCTTTTACACTTAATTTTTGTTAGAGCAATTAAGCTATCTGCTTTATATCTTCTTGAGTTTGGATATTCATAAGTTCACTAGTATCCTTCAAGTGATTTACTGGCTGACATAGAGTTGATGTTGAAGACATTGGATCAATCTAGTCAAACATCTACTCTGTAGCCTTATGATAATCTTCCTAAGAAGATTAATGATGCATCTGCTAAAACTGCAAATGCTTCTATTCATTATTGAATCTATGAATTAGCTATTATTTATCCTGACTTGCTTGATAAGTCGATAAATTTTAAGAACTACATCTATTAAATGACGGATTGACTTGCTGCTATGATAAATAAGGCTAGGGTACTTTCTTTTCGATGCTCATAATAATTTTTTTCTCCATTTGCTAATATTGATTTTAAAGTGTAGGCTAAACGTAATCATCAAAAAATTTCTTTTGCCAATCTTCAATAATAAACTATAATTTCTACTCAAGATGAGTATTATTGACTTGATCTTAATTAAGTTAGTAGATGTTACTATGGCTGTAATTTTCAGGACTCTTTAATTTGTATTGATCAGAACTAGTCTAATAGTTTCTTTGCGAAGCCAATTAGATAATTTGATTCTTACAAAATGTCATACACTCCTACATAATCTCATTCTTTAAGTGCTCTTTAGTTAATTCAGATTAGCCATTAACCTTTAAATCTTCACGTTAGAACTATGAGTTGAAATTTAAGTTTTGCTATTACACATTCTAGAATCTATTATGTGAAATTTAACCAAGTAATATAGATGGATCTTTAATTGGTGATTTTATCATACTTTGTTAAAACTCGGTTTATACACTTTCAAACTCATTTTAGAGAGTTTTAAGCTTTTCACATAGACCATTAAAATTATTCTATACATTCTCAAGTATGTCATAATAGTATTCTGGGGAATCAGTATTTTCAGTTTCTTAGTTTTGATTTTGACTTCCAATCAGCATATTAAACTAATTAAAGTGAGGAGTGTTTTTATTTCTCATTGGCTGGCTGCCTTGCAAATTTAGATTGTTTTTATCCTTCGTATGATTATGACTTTGCAAAGAAAAATAATCTTGACTTAAGAATCTATCTTCATCAGTCTAAGTTTTCTTAGAAGCGCTCGAATTTAGCTGTTATTACTGCTTATTTTATATTTCAGAAGGCATATTCAATTTATGTTGATGCTTTTCTTATAAATAATTGTTCATTTAATGTTCCATATAGCTAATTTAGAGTTGTTTAGTAGGTGTTTTACTATTATTAGACAAATAGTTGGATTGAGTTTAATTATCATTGATTTAAGCTTGATTTGATTAGACAATAACAGGAGAAGCTAAATCAATAGGTGCAGGTTTTATTGCATATTTATTTTTTACTGGAGTTGGAGATTGCTCTTTTTAGAATAAAAACTTTGGATGCTTTTCAAGAAGATAAAGTTGATTCATATAAGTTCTATTTGCACCAAAAGTTTCTTGAATAACTACTTCAAGGTATTTATAGCTTGGACCGATAGGATCTATTGCAAAAAGCTATCTTCCTTCTTTAAAAACTGGATTCAAAGAAGTCCAGTGTTTAAACTAAATCCCGTCCTTTGACACAAATAAATTAATGAGTGACGGATTTGATGAATAAGCGTGAGAACAATAAAACCCGAAACATTAGTAAAATTTAGCTTTAGTTTTAAGATTTGATATATCAATGACTACAGTTTAGGGCATTCCATTTTCACTCATCCATAAAGTCTAAAGAAAAATTTAAAAGAAATAATGAGTGCATACATTTTAATCTGAAACAAAAAGGTTAGATGGATGGCATCCATTAACAAATGAAGAAGTTTAAACAATCTTTGCAAGATTATCCTGTATTAAATAATTCAAGGAATCATAGTTGAAATTTTGCTGCATCTTCTGCTTTGCTGTTTGAGCTTTATTTATATTGTTTTCCAGCTTTTAAGGCTCTATTAGTTTAGCATTGGCCTTTTTCAATAATTTCATTTTGAAATTTATATTTAAACAATAATGATTGGTTTGTTGTATTTTTCCTTATTCAAGGTTTGAGGGGTTTTGGGGTTTTGGGGTTTTGGGG